GATAACGCAGTCAGAGGTTTCTAATTCAAAGAATTTACAATGCAAACACGTGAATAAAAAACAAATATATTTGTATTTGTTTCCTCGTATGATAAAGTCCGCGTGAAATGCAGTATGGTGAACGATCATAAATTTAGTTAAAACATGATAGTTTAAATTTCCGTTTTTTTGCAAAAAATGTAGTTTTAAATGTGTTACTATTAATTTGACTAACCTTTGACAATATCATCAGATACAATGCTGTAATAAACAGTTTCTGTATGTATTACTCTTTAATGTAGCAATGTAAACGCACGAGCTTACGTTACTATGAACTATCATACAACGTGTTTTATCTCTTTAATCACGGAATTTAGACTTTAATAAAAAACGATACATAAAATCTCATAAAATTATGAATATCAAAACTAATACCTATGGTATTAAAAGCCTACAGATAACGTCTTCTATATGTCTATAACGTAACATTTAATCATTTGTTGTCCGTAGTACGAAATGTTTGTGAACATTAATATGGACCGAAACAATAGATCTTTGAGCTTTTAACAAGATTGTGTTATTTTCACGATCATTTTCGATGGAAATTCATATAATTGCCAACGGTATTCTTAAATTGAAGTAACACTTTATAAATTTGGTGTACGTGTGATTTAATAGCTCAAACCTATAAATTTAAAAGTAAATGATATATAACTTGGAAAATGAAAACACATTATCCTAATTTTAACCAGCTTGACTCAAACTCTAAACTTAAAACTATTTTAGATCCCAATAAAGATATTTTGTCTAGTGTCGTAGGCTATATAAAGCAATACATGGAATTGCGAAAATAAGGTCCACATTGGTCAATTACCTATATACTTATATGTATATTATTAATATTAACTTGACTTGTTTAGCACTTTTTTCATGTATTGTATGTTTCTTGTGTATATTATGTTTGCATTTTAACCCGTCAGGGTTTTACCTTTTTTGCAATAATATAAATACTTGAATACTTGATGAGCTATATGACTAAAAGTAACAGCCATAACTGTACGAAATCAGATAGTACAAGTATATTGTGATACGGTTTTATTTATTATATTTACAGACTTTTACTTATATCTGTTTTTTTTTGCGTCTATAAATACAATATATACTGAAATGAATTTCGACTTATTCAATTTTTAATAAATCCGCCATGATAAAGCCAAGGTCACTGAAAATGTGAAAGTGGAGTCAATCGTCAAAAAAGCAAACAATTTTGAATAAAAGAAGTTGTGTGACATATTTTAATGAGACAGCATCCTAACGACAATAAAAGACAATTAGAGTTAAACGTGCAGTCTTAAATACGCAGGTAACTTTACGACAATACTGTCAGATTGGGACTGGATTCCCCTACATTACCGGTAGTATAATCCCAGTAAATTATGTAACTATTCCACTACATTTGTTCATGGCGGATGAAAATGTTTACAAACTGTGATGAACATTAAATGTAAAATTAAAAAAATCTAAAAAAACATGGATTCCAGATATGTTATATGATCCTGTCGTATTCCTTTGGAGGGTCCCTAGTGCATCTGCACTTTTAAAATTTAGACACCAGATAAGGTAACCTCTGACCTCCCTGTCAACGCAACCAAGGTAGAAGGATTTAAGCATATATTGTGTCAATAATCATTCACTTCTAAAAACTTAACACCGTTATAAATCTTATGTCAATCAATGTTAGTTCCCTCCGCGATATCTCATGGATTTATTGATAAAATAGATGTATAATCTAATAATTTTCCATGATTCGGCACGACTATTGAACTATATATATAACGTGTTGTCATCATACAAATAGCAGAAGAAATATATCACATGAAAAGCACAAAGTTATTGTACATTGCACTCTGTAAATGTACCTTCCACTCTGTAAATATTTGCACTCTACAAATAATTTCAATTGTAAAGAACCTTTAATTTCCATTTCCAAAATAGAAAAAAAAAACGTATTTCATATGTCGCGCGACGCTATTATTTTTTGTTGTCTCGACTGGGAGGAGTGTAACTATATCCTGATAGCTAGTTTTCCTTTAATGTTTTTAGCAAGACCACCAATACTAGTATTGGTCTGTTTTCGGTAGTAGTTGTCGGTACAAAACTATTACCTTGTAAAAACAAAATTCCAAATTTTCAAACACGTTCAAGATTTAATTCTTGTTAGAGGCGGATTTAGAGGGTTAGGATGGACGGGCCCCATATGGAGCTAAATTTATGATTAATGCAGACTTTTTACCTGTACCACTCCAAATATTGTCTAATTTGGGGCCCCCTTTTTCAAAAGATAAAATATAAAAGGAAAGAAAGGGGTATCTATCCGTGACACAAAATCAGTACATGCACAGGAAAAAAAAACACAAAAAGGCAAAGGAACAGCTCTTTTATTGCATGTCTTCATCTCAAAGTCACAGCGAGGCCTTCAACACGATTCAAAAACTCTCATCTCACTCCAAGTTTAAGTCGGCCCCTAGAACCGGTTTGAGCGGAATTCTTTGCAAGCTAACGATCACGCCAAAACTGTTATAACGCATTTATTGTTACCCATGCATCACTTGCACTGGTGAAGCACCTGATATGAAACTTGTCCTATGACACTTTTGGGAGTATCGTTGTAGAAATTATACAATATTACCCATAACTTTGTTCACCTTTGCAACATAGTTGACTCAATATAGTATGATAACAAAGAAATTAAAAAAAAACATGTATTTTATTACTTTCAGTGGTCTATGTAATATCTAATAAAGTATTATAATGGTTTATTTAAAGTCTATAGCAGTCAATGTTAGTTCTTCTAAAGATATTGAAACGTTAAATGTGTACTGATAAATCTATATGTATTATTATATCAGTTATGTACTCTTTAGACATTTTGCAGCATTTTTTTTTCGAGAAATATAAATATCTTTATAAATGATTATAATTATCTTTTACGACCATATTTGATATTCAAATACAATTTTAATTATCTTTTAAAAAGGCCAGTTTATTTAATAGATATTGAAAAGACATCTTCAAAGTATAAATATGAAAACAGTATTTCTTTAAAGAGACAACTTTTTTATTATGTTAAAGGCCATTACCATTTTAATAAGTTAGAATACAACATATAAAAACGTTTTTGATAAAAAATAGATAATAAGATTTGGTAAATTGTATATGTACTTTTAAATTTCTACATTGACGCAACTAAATATTTTTTTTTCAAATGAATATTATCTCATTAATTGACAAGACCATACACATCAATATCATATATTTGTACTGAATTTCATATCAAATTAATGTCATGATTCACAACCAGCGAGCTCATATCTTAAAAGGTTTCGTGTTAACTAAATTTCAAGCACGTAGTCCTATTTCAATGATATAACAGATTCCAAAACCAACAGTATAGACAAGACAACAAAACCAATAATACCGTATCAAACAGATTCGCTGTCACTGAAAGCAAGCTCGAAGTTCTAAACCTGATGAATTTGAAAAAAAAAATGTCGTCCTACACTCTAATATCGGCAGCTGTACTACAAGAAAAAAGAAAGGATATGGGGTATCCATCCAGGACATAAAATCAGTTCAAGCACAACAAAACATACTTAAAGCAAATGAACAGCGTTTTTATTGCTGTTCTTCATCTCACAGTTTTAGAAAGATTTTTTACATATACCATGTTTGTTTGATGCACGTGAAATATACCATATCAGCAGATCTGACCTATAGCGCAGAACATTTGATCAAAATAACAAATAAAATATATTTATAGATTTGATCGTTGTACAAAACAATATAAATATTCATATATTCAGGAAAAGGAAACTTTCAAACTTTACACAAATATTAAATCATACATTAGAAACATTAGATTAAAAAATACTTTTGAAAATTGACCAGGTGCATTGTATCAATTGTCATAATTGATAAAACTATCGTCGACATAAAGGGCTTCAAATATTGCTGTTAACATTGCAAACATCAATGTTTTTTGTTCAAGACGTCACGATAAGGGACCGATACAATCGATACTGGGGCGTCTAGCTGCAACGGCATAGCGAACGAGTTACAAAATATACACAGGGTCAAAAGGTACATTAACAATAGGGAACAAAAGTTTATTTTTGTAAATTTTAGTATAGACTTTCTTTTTCCTGTAAACAGAAATATCCAAATAAAAAAAGGACAATTTATGTTCATATAAGATTTACTTTATGTCAGTTTTCTTATATATACGTGTACGTATTACCCAAATGAGAAACAATTAAAACCGCTTTAAAATTTTGTATTTTTTTGTCACATACTGATACAAGGTGCTTCTATTTTGGCAAAGATGTCTGAAGCAACATTTATATGATAAATGCTATAAATGGAGAAATGAATTCCAAACAATTGGAATAATTGGTATCCTCTTTACGAATATTTGCAACAATTTATGCACACATTATGATCTGAATTTACAGTAGTACACTAAAAAGAGAGAACTTGTTACTTGCTGTCACGATTAACAGATACTAGAATAGAGAATGGAGAATGTATCAAAGAGACAACATCCCTACCAAAGAGCAGAAAACAGCCAAAGCCACCAATTGGTTTTCAATGCAGCGAGACAATCCCGCACCAGGAGGCGGCCTATAGCTGGCCCCTAAACAAAAATATATACTATTTCAGCAAAATGGACGCCACACTAAGCTCCGAAACATACAAATGAACCAAAATTTTAAAAAATACACAATATTAACAAAGGCTGAAAGTCTAAAAGCAAAAAATGCAACGTGCATGGTTAAACATTTTTTGTGAGATTTCAACCCCGGCTCCCCCTATACCTTAGCCAATATAAAATAAACAAACTCGCAACAAAACGCACAGTAAAACTAAGTATAATATAACTTTTAATGTAATAGAAAATTTTACATTTCTATCACCTACCACTATAAATCTTATTCTATAAAGTTAAAAAGTGAATCACTTACTGTTCATTTTCTGAGGGTTGTTTTTCCGACTGTTCCTCCACTTGTGGAATTCCTTCCAACGGAATAACAGTCGGGATCTGTAGCTCCGGGGTCGATACAGTAATATCGGGGATCCAACTTTCATCCATATTTGATAAGAAATGTAATTCGACACTTTTTCAATATGATCTCATATTTATGAAAATTGATATTTCATAACATGTAAATTATTGCTGATAACACTGTACACTTCATTGTTCCCTGATTACGTTTCAAAGAAATATCATAAGATAAAAATCATTTAATTATGTCAAGTTTATAAAACCAAGCAAAATAAATTTACAACATCATAAACTGTGTTTATATAACTACAATGTGTAACTCCACCAAAACACTGAAGTCGGAGTCCTGAAGAAACAAGTTCAATGAAGTAGCAGCAATTTAAAAACATAGAACCAATTGGATTTAAGATCCGTCATCTCATATACTACTTGGAAAGCAGCATTTTAAAGTTTTAAATTAATTTGTAGATTTAAATGATTACGGAAGCTTTTGCTATCAGTTAGAGCGATGAACTTAGCTCTACTTTACGACGTTGTAAATACATTTATCGAGCCATAACTGTACACTTGAACGTAATTATGGTTTACTTGTAATATCCAAACATATATCCCTACAAATCCAAGCGATAAATACCTTTCATGGCATTTAGTGAAGCACCCTTCAAATTATATAGTATACAATGATAAACATGTATATAGCCTCTGTTATAAACGTAAGACCACGCCTTGTGTCAAAGAATTCAAATTAAACTTTATAGAATGTGCAGTTAGTTACTTCGTCTTTTGTTACTGTGTTTATAATATACTGTTTCTCGTAAAAATTATATGATATTAAAACGCGATAATAGTAATTTATACAGTATCGTGAAGGGTCAGATTTCTATTTGAAATTAAATTACTGCATGCTTCTGCACCGACCATTTATCTTTTTTGTGATTGAGTGCGAGATGGGGCAGTTTTTTTTCTCAACTGGACAAACAATTTGTTATTGATTTTTATCAACAACAATTATTTTTAATGATTAACAGGATATGTTGTGATAAAACCTCATCATTTGTAAGCCAGGAATAAAATTACGTAGTCACGTTAGGAGCTATATGTTTAACCAAAAGGTACCTAGGTTAATGGGGTACACGTCAACGGGACATCTACCCAACGACACAAATAACCAAACATCATCAAGAGGGCAACATACAGTCTTCGACAATAGAAAGGTGTCTATACGACATGCCAGGCTGTGAATTGTAAATCAAAGATCTTGTGTTTTTGTTGTCAATAAAATGTATTATATAAAACTCATTGAATATTCCAGACCCCAAGGATTGACCGGGATATAGAAATATGCTCATCCCTTTTTCATCTTCCGACCGGCAGTTAAACTCTTGATAAAGTTGTGCGTCCGTTTTGGCTGTGCGGAATGTATAAAATAGAGGACACTGCCGGTGAAAATGGAGACGTTTAATCCAATGCCTCGTGCCATGCTCTATCTACACGTCAAATAACCCTTGCAACAACTCTATGTAGGGTTCGTAGATGGTCTATTGCAAGCCTAAATATATGTCGCTATCAACTATACTCTTATCTTCCAATGGCAGTCCAAATTTCCTGTCCTTCATCATCCCGGTCGATCCCAATTACAGGACATGCCGATTGTATGTATTGTAAATTTGTTTTCATAATGACAGCCATGGAAAATTATTATTTTTGTAAAAAAAAAAGAAGTTTTTAAAGTTTGTACACTATAATTTGTCTGTTCCTCTTCTGTTTTTTTTTTTTTGCTATGTTGGTGTTTGTCGTTCTTTTACTTATTGTACATGGACTCCCTCCGACCCCCCCCCCCCCCCCCCCCAACCCAAAGGGCATCTGATCCCCCCTTTTTTTAATAAAAGATCTATACTTCTCTACATTATTATTATCTCCTTGGTAAGTTTGGGACGTCGACGATATCCACTTTAAAGAACAGTATACATTTTTAATACATCAGAATAGATATTGTTTGTCCTAACTAAAATAAATTAACACACAAATGTAAAATACCGGGTTTAACTAATCAAAGCATAGTCTGGCATTGCTCTGACGTCTGACGATCTTTTTAAAGACTTGATGGGTGTCCCAGACATTTGAGAATTATCGTACTAGTCAAAGCACAGTCCGGATAAGCATAGGTAAACAATAAGTAAATAGATATTGTATAATTATAAACAATTAATGACCAAACAAGAACAAAACACTGTTATAGATTTATGTAGAGAAAATAGATTATCTACTTCTATCAAATAATTTGCGTTAAAAAGAATGCAAGTCTTCCACAGTACACTAAGTCAGCCTTGAGATAAATATTTGAGTAACACCCCAGTACAAAGACATATTGTTCCTAAGAACTATTTTAAATACAAGGTGTAATATGTACCGGATACTTAAGAAACTTTATTATTTTCTCCAACACATTTGTGATTTAATCTTCTCTCATTTTTTAAGGTTTCCAAGTTGAAAAGTATCCTATCTAAATTACAAATCTTTTCTCCTGTTCGTTTTAACAACATTAATGACGTACATGGCATCTAATTAAAACTTACATAGAACAACCGCACGCAATAGGCTTGCATAGACATGCATATAGTAATGTGCCGCAATTGTCATGAATTAAAGATAACTACACGAAATTTTCCATTTTGGCCGAAGTATCAGTCGAGACTCTCATATCAAGCTCGATGGCTGATGCCAAAGATGATACGGAAATTACATCTATTTATCATATTATACTAGTATTTGTAATTACGAAAACCATTCTTTTGATTTGTTTACGACCTTTTGATTTTCGGAGAGGGGCGATTTTTTTTCGCTGACGGAATTTATTTTAAGCTGTTGCCAGGCATGCTTATTTATTTCTCGACAATTTTCGGTTTTTACAGTTATATCCTGCATTTTGTGAGGCGGGATATAAATTAGCTTCCAGTCTTGGCCTATTTTCAGTGTTTACCAGGCAAGCATAATCATTACCACAATCTTGCAATGTGTTTCTTTGTTTACCTCCACATACTTATACATATTAAACTGATGCGCCTGCGCCAGTCGCTTATCAAATGGCAAAATCAAAAGCTTAATCACACCAAACGAATGGAAAACAACTGGCACATTCATGATTTACAATGACCTGACTCAAATGCAACTTGTACGGTTGTATTCGGTTTAATGACAACCATGATTATTTTAAACGTACGTTTGTCAAACGGGAAAGAAAAAAGAATGATTTCATGAGGTTAAGTGCCTACCATAATAGAAAAAGGGCATCCATCCATGACAAAAAATCAGTACATGCACAGCAAAAAACACACAAAAAGCAAAGAAACATCTTTTTTATTGCTGTTTGTCATCTCAAAGTCACAGTGATCCTTCAACACGGAGCAACACAAAAAAAAACTCTCAGAATGGATTAGCTTCAGATCTACGCATCTCTGTTTTTGTGTAAATAAAATCACCGTAGGATTGAAATGAAACCTTTCGTTTGAGTTAATCACTGGTTTCTGAATCTTTATTATTTTGTGTATTTTGTGGACTATTGTTTATTTGTATGTATTGTTTTTTCTCTCTCTCTTTTGGACAAATATTGTGATGTCAGTTTTAAATTTCTTCAACTTATGGTTTTTTGATTGCCTGTTGGTATCTTTGACAAAACTTTTCGGAACTTTTGATTGCTCCTTGGTATCTTTGACAAAACCTTTCGAAACTTTTGATTATCCCTTAGTATCTTTGACAAAACCTTTCTAAACTTTTGATTGCCCCTTGGTATCTTTGACAAAACCTTTCGGAACTTTTGATTGTCCCTTGGTATCTTTGAAAAAACCTTTCGGCACTTTTGATTGCCCCTTCGTATCTTTGAAAAAACCGTTCGGAACTTTTGATTGCCCCTTGGTATCTTTGACAAAACCTTTCGGAACTTTTGATTGCCCCTTGGTATCTTTGAAAAAACCTTTCGGAACTTTTGATTGCCCCTTGATATCTTTGACAAAACCTTTCGGAACTTTTGATTGCCCCTTGATATCTTTGACAAAACCTTTCGAAACTTTTGATTGCCCCTTGATATCTTTGACAAAACCTTTCGGAACTTTTGATTGCCCCTTGGTATCTTTGACAAAGCCTTTCGGAACTTTTGATTGCCCCTTGGTATCTTTGAAAAAACCTTTCGGAACTTTGATTGCCCCTTGGTATTTTTGACAAAACCTTTCGGAACTTTTGATTGCCCCTTGGTATTCAACTTCGTACTTTATTTGGCTTTTCAAATTGTTTGATTCGAGCGTCACTGATGAGTCTTTTGTAGACGAAACGTGCGTCTGACGTACGAATTATAAGCCTGTTATCTTTGAGGAGTCCCCCCCTTTTTAGTCATATTTTTACAGTGGATTTGTATTCATACCATGCAAATATTTTCATCGCATCGTGTAAGTTGATAAGCTTATTTCTGAGTAACTGGTCAAATATAAATGTATTAGTGAAGAACATACAATGATTTATAAGGATAAATGAAATTTAAATATTGCACAAGTATATTTTAGTAATTTGATAATATTCTCACGGTTGTCAGAGGCCTTACACCTTATACAATCTAATTCATCATTGATTTTCACCTCGGCAATCTCTATAAAATCGTATCAAATTTATATAAAATGAATTTTTGAATGATTTTTCGGTTGATTTCAATTTTCATTGAAAATATGTTCTACGTAACAATGCGGTTGTTATTCTTTGTAAAGCTTAGATCACTTCGGTGCTTTTCTGATTTTTACTTCTAAACCAATGATAATTTGACGGAACGAGGTACAGAATGTCAACATAAACATGATGAATTGATATCTGAATACATTTCAGTATGTATTTGGCGAATTTTCAAATGACATGATTGATTTTCTGAAATTAAAAAACCACCATACCTAAGCTGTATTTAGGATGTCATGTTGAGCTAAACTTGAACAAAATAACAATGCAATCTTCAACAATTACATGTAAATATTAAAACAAGACATGTTGAAGTATGTGGGTCTATCCATATTGATTAAATGATCGATCTTACAACAGACTTGTCATCATGTCAGATTAAAACAGTTTGATTAATGATCGGAGAAGATTTTACTTTAGATTACTGTAAAACGTCTTAATGACTAAGCATTATTTTTTTTGGCGAAACAAGCTACATATAATTTTACCAAACAATATGTTTTTGTCATTCAGTCTAAATTATTTGATTCAAATTAATGATCTATATAAAAATGTATAAAACAGTCCTTATTTGTAGCTTGTCACCAAATACAACGTGTTACTTGCTAAGTCGTTCAAAGAACTCTTAAAACATCCCTTTTATAGATACGCAATAGTGCTGAAAGTGGTGTTAAACACCAATCAATCAATCAATCAATCAATCCCCTTTAATAGCGGATCTCTTTGAATTTTCTATTTAATGTATAGGTTAAACTTATTTGCCTTTTCGTATATACTCTTGGTCATACATTTGCCTGTCCCTAGCGTTTGATTGCTTACTGGTATTTTCTTATTTTAAG